TTGCTGCTTTACAGAGCCACGAGTCCATGCAACAGCCAGCCAGGAAGGAAGCACACCAGACCAGGAGAGGAGCTGGGGTCTGGGAGCACCCCAAATCCTCAGCCAACACTGGGGTAAAGACTGTCCAGTCTGGGTGCATAGGAGTCTGCCGTGGAGTGTCACCGGTGACTGACTACATGGGGCAAAAGTACTCTGCAGATAGAACTGCTGCTGTGACCTTAGGAGACAGGGGTCGCCTGGGTAGGGCCTTTCTGTGTCTGCGGGTGGAAGAGATGTGGCAATCAGAAAAGGTGGAGAGAGAGAGAGAGAGAGAGAGAGAGAGAGAGAGAGAGAACACAGAAACAGGCATGTTCTGGGAAGCCTGGAAGGAAATTAGATCTGTCGACAACTGTGACCTGGAAGTGCCTTCTGTCCCACAGCAATGAGACAAGAGCTGGGCCAGCCAAGGAGAGCTTGCCAGCTAGCTGAGCTGCCGGGACTTTTTACACAGAACTGGCAGAATAGATGGGTGTTGTTTAAAGTAACAAAGTTCACAGATGTTTATTACGACCATAGAAAACAGAGTCGGTGAATGCTGACCGTGGACAAGATGAGGAGCTTCAGGGAGCTAGCGTTGAAGCCTTGATCACGTATAATGAAAAGAATGTAAAAATTAAGCTGCATACTTAATATTCTGTATCAGTTACTTTTCTATTGCTATGTTAAAACACCCTGACCAGCTTGGTGTGGCAGCGCACACCTTTAACCCCAGCACTTGTGAGGCAGTGGCGGGGCAGGTGGCTCTCTGAGTTCAAGGCCAGTCTGGTCTACAGAGTGAGTTCCAGGACGACCAGGACTACACAGAGTCTTGAAACCAATCAAATAAACAAAACCAAAAACAAAACAACAACACATGGCCAAGGCAACTTATATAAATAAGAGTTTGTTTTGGCTCAGGGTTCCAGAGGGATAAGAATGCCATCATGGTGGGAAGCATGGAGGAAGGGGCTGGAAGCTGAGAGCTCACATCTTGAGTCAAAAGTATAAAGCAGAGAAAGCAAACAGGAAGTAGGTGAGGCTTTGCACCAGCTAAACTTCCCCAGTCAGCGCCACCAACTGTAGACCGAGTGTTCAAATGCCTGAGTCTGCAGGGGACATTTCTCATTCAAACCATCACGTATTCTAAAGTAAGGACTCGGGAGACAGCAGCTTCGAGCACCACTGCCTGTGGGGCTCCGAAGGACACGTCCCCATAGTCTTGAGCATTTGAGCACTTGACCCCTAGATGATGGCAGCGTTCGGGAGTGTTGTCCTGCGGGCAGAAGTATGTCACTAGTAGTGGGTTTTGAGGGCGTATGCCTTTGGCCTCAGCTCCCTGTTCCGGTCGCCACACCTTTGCTCAGCCATCTTGACACTAACGCTCTGTAATTATAAGTCTAGACAAACTCATCTTTCTGGGAGTCTCCTTGGTCATGGTGTTTCATCACAGCAATAGAAAAATAGCTAATACACTGTTCTTCCAGGAACCATTCACTGCTAGCCTCCGTGCTGAGCAGTAATTCCCTTCCAGGGGCTCTGATGCGCTCCCCTGGCCTCTGCTGATTCCAGCGTGCACACAGCATACCCTCACACAGACACACACAAAGAATAAATAAATCTTTGTAAAAAGTCAAACACAACAGAAAATAAGTTAGCAGGGAGATAGGCCAGGGGCTAAAATATGCACCACAGAAGAGGGAGGACCTGAGTTCAAATCCCCAAAGAAGGTGAGAGCAGATAGCTAGGACACCTGGAATCCCAGCATCTACCCAGGAGGAGGCAGATGAGGACAAGAGAGTCCCCAGAAGCTGGAAGGTCAGTTGTCTGTCATATATAGAAGCGAGCAAGAGAACTTGTCTCAAATAAGGTGGAAAGGCAAATGCCTAACACCCTGCACACTCACGCCATGGTATGTATGTGTGTGTGTGACGCATGGGTATGATCATGCCCACGTTCCCACAAATACACACACACACAATAAATAAATATTTTCAAAATTTTAAGTGTTGGCTTGGGAATGGGTAAAGTGCCTACCACATGAGCATCAGGACCTGAGTTCGGATCCCCAGCACTCATCTAAAAAACCAAGTGTGGTGGCCTGTGAAGAGCCCAGGGGGCCCCCAGCGGATTGTCTACTGGAACAAGTGAGCTCTGGGTTCAGTGAGAGACTCTGTTGTCATCGTCCCCCCCCCCCAAAAAAAGGCAGAGAGACTGAAGAGGGCAGTTTCTAAATGCACACGCATGCACGCACACACACACACACGCACGCACACACCACACAATCATCTTAGGTGACCTTTAGGTGACATATTGCCTGCAACGTGCCTTTCTTTCCTGTGCTTCCACTGAGGAAATCATGGCAGCCACCTCCCTGCCCCTCTGCGAGATCCCCAGGGAGGAGTTCACCCATTAGCTTTTTAGGCTGGTACCTCAGCTACCCAGCACCTCCTTTTCCTGTCCCTAGGTCCTGCCTGCTCGCAGGACACTTACTTGGTCTTTTGTTCCTGAAGTGAAGAGGGAGGCTCCAGGGGAAGCCTGCACCTGAGAGGGGCTCACTGCTCAGCTGTGGGCCAGATGTTCTCAGATGACTCAGGCCAGAGCCAGTACTCCGACAGCTCTACAGGAAGTAAGGTCAAGTGTTGACCGCCCTCTGCTGAATTCTTTGCATTTTATTTGTTTTGGATATGGGGAGTGGGGGGCCAACACTTGCCACTCCATACCTGTGAAGTCACAGGACTGGTGAAAGTCAGTTCTCTCCTTCAGGAACCCAACTCAGGACCTCTGGCCGTCAGCATCACTCTCCCTGCTGAGCCACCTCACCAATCCCCCTCTTAATTCTTCTGTCTTCTCCTGGGCTGGTGCACCCTCCAATGGTGCATCAGATCACTCAGAAACTGCATTGCTCCGGCCTTTGGGTTGTGGTTACACAAGTCTTTGTGGAGTCCCATGCTTGGTGCTCACTGCACTGGGTGGCTTTGACAGTTATACAATCGTTTTAAGTGGAGCCAGCTTCGTTTGCTCAATTCTCAGTTAACAGGGGGAGGTCCTAGTTCAAGCCAGCCCCCTCTGCCTCGGGAATCAGCCTCTGTAGATGGTGGGAAGTGGGTAACTGAGAACGAGATTTTCTCCTTTTTTCAGCGTCTCTTGGGCTGCACGGAACCTTCTCTAGAGCGTGGCATTAGTCACAGCCTGCACTGTGGGTAAATGTTTAGATCTGGGAGACTCTGCGGGCTCATGCTTGGAACAGTCCCCAGCTAGTGGCTATGCTAGAAGGCATGGGGGCTAAGTGACTCAGAAGGGTGGGGATTTTAGAAGTCATGATCAGACCCCAAGATGCCAGGATCCTCCAGCACACACCCCTGCTGTTGAGAACTCAGCCACACTGCCCACTCCCCAGGGGACTGAGACTCTCTGAAACTGTGAACGGAAATGAATCTTTTCCCACTCATGCAAGTTGTTCCTTTCAGGGGTTTTTGTCACAGAGCTCTGAAAGATACTGTCACAGACATAACACATGCAGAAGCCATCTTCAAATTGTTGGTACCCAAGAAAGTGAAGTGGTTACAGAGAAAAACCGTAAACATCACAGAAAGAAGTATCACCTATATAGATGAAGAGATACCTTGTGTTTGTGGGTTGGAAGCTTTAATGTTGTGTAGGTCAGTGGTTCACAACCTGTGGTTCATGACCCAGATGTTTACATTATGATTCATAGCAGTAGCAAAACTACAGTTATGAAGTAGCGATAAAACATTTTTATGGGGGGAGGGGGAGGAAAATGGGAGGCGGTGGCGGGAAGGAGACAGAAATCTTTAATAAATAAATAAAAAGGAAAAAATAAAATAAAAAGAAAAAAAACATTTTCATGGTTGGGGTCACCACGACATGACTGAACTATATGAAAGGGTCGCAGCATTAGGAAGGCTGAGAACCACTGTTGTAGATGCTAATGTTGACCAAAGAGCTGGCAGGTTCAGTCAATACCTACCAGAAGCCCAGTGATAGTTTTTACAGAATGCAAAACTCTTTTGATCCTGGGATAACATGTCATGGCCTGTAGCGCGCGGAGATGTAGCGGGCACCATGGCGCTGTCATGTCAGGGGCACGGGGCCTGGGCGCCATTTGCTGTTCCACGTCAAACTTGACAGCTTGTGCGCAACTTGACAGACAACTTGTGCGCAAGCGCGCCGCACAGCGCATGCGCCGGCGAGCCTTCGCGAGCCCCCCCCCCCCCCAACGCGGGGAGTATTTCGATCTGGCCATCCGATCTGGCCAATCATAATTTAAGCACGATCACTCCATTCTGGCCTGAGCCATTGGGTTGATGACACGTCAGGGCTTTGTCTGGCACCGTATATATTCTTCTGCGTCACGGGGACGGGGTCTTTTGCCTCTTTACAACCTCAAGTGTAAGTGCTCCAATAAAGTGTGTTCTGAGAAGAATCCTGTTGCGGTCGTCTCTTCTGCTGGCGGGAGCGGCGTGCTGCAATGGCCAAGGCAACTTAGAGAAGGAAGGTATTCGGCTTCTGGTTCCAGGGGGATACAAGTCCACACTGTAGGGAGACACAGCCGGTATCATGAAGCTAAGCCCACCTCTTCAGCTGCAAGCACCCAGCAGGGAGGAGGGAATGGTCTGAAATTCTCCAAGGCCATGCCTGGAGACAGAGTACTTCCTCCAGCAAGGCCACACCTCCTAAACCTCCCCCAAACAATGCCTCCAACAAACCCCACTACATTAGTGGAAATCCCTCATGAAGGAGGGGACAGTTTAAGCTGTGGGCTGCAGTCAGTGCTAAGCACCATCTCCTGTTACAGCGCCTTCTACCGGGAAGACTGCGCATAGACACGCCTGTGGAATGGTTGTAAGAACAATGGGAGCAGACACCAAATGACACAGTGCAGGAGTCTGTTTATTCGGGCTTGCTTTTGTTAGTTTATTGCTTTTTTTTTTAAGTTTTTTGCCCAGCTTAAGTTTTTTTTTTTTTTTTTTTTTTTGAGACAGTTTTTCTTTGTAGCTCTGGCTGTCCTGAAACTAACTATAGACCAGGCTGGCTGTGAACTCAGAGATCTGCCTGCCTCTGCCTCCCAAGTGCTGGGGTTAAAAAGGCTTGGTCACCACCACCCAGCTTCATTAGTTTGTTATTTGATTGTTGTTTCAAGTCCATAGGTCACAAATGCATTCAACAAGCCCCATGTGGCAGTGCTGTGGACCCAGTCTCTCTCTGCTTCCCACAGCTGCCAGGGCCACGGTGCGGCTCAGCCATACGGCACTGCTGGGGCCCTGGTGCATCCTAAGCACTGCTCGTATGGATGCATGCATACACAAGCCTCAACTTTCTTCCACTGCGTTACAGCGTCCCTGTGGGTTCCTCTCCTTTCCCTTTCGAGGGGTCTTTATCTTAGGTATCCCAGTTTGTGGACTTGGTTTTGAGGAAAGCATCTCCAAAGTCACGAAGCAAGCTTCTGTCAATGTTCTTCCGCTACAGTGAGTGGCAGAAAAGTCGTGCCCTCAGCACTTGGGAAAGGGGAGTGCAGATAGAACCCACCTTCTTCTTTCTCTTCCCTCGTACTTAAGGCTTGTCCCAGAAAAGCATGGTTCTGGCCAATAAGAGTGCGTCCTGTATTCTTACCCTGGCCAGAGTATGCCTGGATTCTTACTCAGTTCCCTCCTGGCCAATCAGAGTGTGCCCTGGATTCTTATTCAGTCTCCTCCTGGCCAATCAGAGTGTGCCCTGAATTCTTACACAGTCCCCTTCCTTGGAGCAGAGCCTGGAGGGCGTGGCCTGGAGATACAGTTCTCCCTGGCAGCAGTGAGCACCCTTACTCACCTATCCCCCAGGTGGAGACAGACAGCTGTAACCTGTGTGTGCTCACCATACCCCTAAGCCCAAGCATCTGTGTGCCAACATACCTGCCTGCCGTGGAAAGGAGTGAAGGCAGGCAGTTCTGTGTACCTCAGAGAGCCTGGTGGGAGGTTCAGACACAGGCAAGTGAGGGATTAGAGAAAGGGGCTCAACTCTGCAGCACACTAGTGGGAGGGTCCCTGCAGAGTCTAAGGACAGCAGTGGACAGCCAACACCTAGACACCCCGAGAAGAAGAACACAGGAAGTTCTGTGTGCATATGCCACACTCTTAACCCTCCTGTGCCGTTTCTCCCCCCAGCCTTTGCCTTCCCAGAGTGTATGCGTGTATGTGTGTGTGTGTGCGTGCGTGTGTGTATTGTACTACCCATGTGTGACTTTCACAGACAGAAAAGGATTTTTAAGATGAGAGACCCGGCAGCCAGGTGAAGTGCTGAAGATTGCCAGCTGAGGGCTCAGGGTACGGGGGACCAAAGAGTGGAGACAGGCCGCCCTCTGTCCTCCCCCTGGAATCTGGCCTAGCAGGTTCCAGTGACAGCCTTTGTGTGGAAACCTGACTCGGAGCCAGCAGTTCCCACTGGGCCTGGGCAAGAGGAAGAGAAAGCAAAGAGGCCAGGTGGGCGGGGAATCCTCACACCTTATCATTGCTAATTACTGGGGAAGCTGGCCGGCAGGAAGCCTGTTATCTGTCTAAAAACCAATCTGGTGCTCTGTGTGAGTGATGGGGGCCGGGAGAGGGGATGTGGTGTTGAGTCAGAGTGAAGAAGAGAGACAGGTTCAGGAGTGGGGTTAACAGAACCCTCCCTTCTGAGACCCCAGGGACCTTCCTGGCACCTCCTTGTGTGTGAGTCTCAGGCATCACCTCTGACAGCCTTGCTACCCCCACCCTGGTCCCCCTTTATTGATCTCAAAACCCCAAGGTCTCAGCTTGTCTTCGCTGCTGTCCCCTGGGCTTTGCTTTCTCAGTGGAGGATAGAGGCCGAGGCTGAATCTCCATGGTTCTTTTCAAAGACCTCACAGGCCTCTTCTTTGAGTCTCTGAGTCTCTGAGAGGAAAGAAAAAGAAGGTGAGCGTTGTATAATTATCCATGTCCGAGTCTTGTTAGGAAAGAAGAGCCAGGGTCAGTGGTGTAAACATAATCCCAGCATTCATGAGACTGGGGCAGGATGACTACTGTGAGTTCGAGGCCAGCCTGGTTATGATGAGTTAAAGGCCTTCCCGGATTGTGTAAGTGAGGGCCTGTCTAGAAGGAGGAGGAGGAGGAGGAGGAGGAGAAGTGGGAGGAAAAAGGGGAGGGGAAGAGGGAGGAGGAAAGTCACTAAGTAGAAGAGTCCCAGGCCAGGTTTGGCTTCACTAGGCAGCTGCTTCCCAGCCAGGCAGGTGTCAGTGCCAGCATTTGCCATCCGGGTCTTCTACTACCGTGCGTGCGTGCATGTGTGCATGTGTGTGTTGAGAGAGGTCTCACTAAGTAACCCTGACTGACTTGGAACTCAGTATGTAGTCCAGGCTGGTCCTGACCTCATGAAGATCCATTGCCTCAACCTCTTGAGTGCTGGAATTAAAGGTGTGTGCCACCAAATCCAGTTTATCACTACCTAGTTTTGAGAAACCTAATCCCCATGTGACAGAATCAGGAAGCGGGGCCTCCTGAGGATGGGGTAGAGAGCTGCCCTAGGAAAGGGACCACTGGTGGTCTGCTTGCCTCTCATACTCAGCTGCCTTTGCCCTGTGTCACCAGCTCAGCCTGTGTTACAAGTGACGAATGAAAGGCCACGGGAGAGAAGCCTTACTGGGTCTAATGTGACACTGGAAGCAGACAGCATAGGAGTGAGCCAAACAGCTTGTATACTGCCAACACGGGTGTGTGACCCAAACCATAGCACATCCGCATGCAAATTACAGTTTTTGTTAACACCAGTGGTAACCCAGTCACCTTTGCACCAGTTAAGGCATTCCCTGTGCAGGGCACCAGCAGAAGCTCCTCAGTGGAAATGGTGGCCGGGTCATTTACATTTCACTGAGAGTTGTGAAGGCCAAAGCTGGAACCATCTGGGTTCCAGGGCTGTGATCCCAGGAGCTGCTGTTAGACTTCAGCAGCAAGCAGCTGTCAGTGCTGTGCAGCTTCCTCGGGGCGTTTATGGGGCAATCAAAGCAACCAGTGCTGGCATGGGCACAGTTCAGCTGGCTCTTGGGTGATAATTCTTCCCTCAAAGCAACCAGAGAACCAGGGAGTTAAACAGTTAATTACCAGCTAGGGAGTCAAATTGTTCTGTCCCTCAAAATCTTAGCTTATCTACAGGTAAGATGAACATTGGAAAGAGTTCTTATAGTAAAGACTTCTCGTTAATATTAATAGTGATTTTTATCAGTGAGTTAACAATGCTTACGCCAGGGATTGTGGCACAAACACATAATCTTGACACTTGAGGGCCTGAGACAGTAGGATCATAGGCTTGAGGCCAGCCTGGACTACATAACCATCACCACCTCCACCACCATCACCACCACCATCACCACCACCATCACCACCTCCACCACCTCCACCTCCACCACCTCCACCACCTCCACCACCTCCACCACCTCCATCACCTCCATCACCACCACCTCCACCACCATCACCACCTCCACCACCATCATCACCATCACCAATCACCAATCATCCCTACTCTCCATCACCACAACCCACCACTACTGCCACCACAGGTGCTTCTCAATGCTCACCACTTGCCCAGCACCCCAGGGAGAGGCAGACTGTTTACTCTGTCCCTAGCCAGTTCAACTCCTATTGCATGCTGACTTTTTCTCAGCTTGCAGATGTCTGATTACTCCTAAGAGGAAGCCTTTGCATCGTTTTCCCCTGTGCAGGTGCATGGCGTGGGCTCCCCAGTTTCTACCTCCTCTTTTGTGGACATCAGGCCTGGAAGGCTCTATCTACCCTTTCAACCTTATTCAACCTTAACCACACCCACACTCCAAATATAGAGGGAGTAAAGATTCCACATGGGGTTTGAGAAGGTAGTTAGTCCAAACACTCCCTGTGACCCGGAGACCTATTCTATTCTATTCCTGGCATGAAAGCTGTAAGAAAAAAGAGAAGGTTAACCAAGCCAGCTAAAGACTGGCCTCCCGCTCTTCAAGAGGCACCTGAGCCCTGGATACTATTTGGATCTAGTCCTGATTAGCGTTTGTTGTTGTTGTTTTGTTTGTTTGTTTGTTTGGGGAGCAACTTAACAGAGAATCATCTGGAAAGAGAAACCTCAGGTGAAGACACACCTCCATCAGATGGCTTGTGGGCATGTCTGTAGGGCATTTTCTTGGTTTAGTGCCTGCAATGGGAGGATCTGGCTTACCATGGGTGGTGCCTCCCTTGCGAGGTGGTCCTGGGTGGCATAAGGAAGCAGGCTGAGCAACCCATGGGGCGGGAGCAAGCCAGTGAGCAGTGTTCCTGCCTCCAGGGTCCTGCTTAAGCTCCTGGGCTGGCTTCCCCCCATGAATGTGACTCAGGATGTGTAAACCAAACAAACCCTTTCCTTCTCAATCTCAAATTGCTTTTGATCACGGTCTTTAGCACAGCAATAGAAACCTAACTAGAAAAGACCTCTGGGGCTACTGTATGCCATGTGGTGAGAGATATCCCTGAAAACTTGTCAACACAACATGTGCACACATACACACGCACACACCACACACACACATGCACGTACACAAAGGTTTCCTTAACCACGGCTGTTCTAAACTGGCCCCACAGATGCCAGTTTCTGCCACCTGGCCCCTTCCAAAACCCAGCCCTCACCTTCTTCAGCCTTTCATAGCGACAGGTGCGTTCTGATACCACCTGCTCCTGCTTCTGAGCCCGCAATCTTAACTCTTTTGCAAGCTCTGTTGGCTTTCCAGCCTGCAGTTTCTCCCAGTCCTTCAAGAGAGCATATAAGTCCTGGCCGAGAAAGAAGATGGCAGGTAGACTGTTCCTCATGAGGGCATCTTTGGTCATTGCCAGAGCTGTGCCCCCAAAGGCCTTTTGTATCTGCCTGCTGCTTCTGGTTGAGACCCGGCCAGCAGTCATGAGCTTGCTGGCAGCCGAGGCGACATGGGGGTGTGTTTTGGTTAGCTGGAGGGCTCGGATGTGCTTTCGGATGGTTTCCCAGGCGCTCGTACATTTGTAGACAATCTCACCGGCGGCCGTGGCATAGGCTGTCTTCTTTCCCGTGACCTCCTCAAGCTCTTGGTCACTACTAGGTATGATTCCGTTGGCCTGAGCTAGGGCGCTTTTGTTGCGAGAGTCTTCCTTCACATCAGTCACGATGTTGGAGATCCCAGCAGCAGCTCCCAAACCTGTCCCAGCAGCAGTGAGCACCAGGCTTCCGCCTGCAGTTACTGGAGCAAGGACCAAACCCAGCAGACACATGGCTCCAGAGATGATGGACGCAGAGTTAGTCATCACTTTGGTTTTGGTGGCTTTTTGGTGGCTTTTGTCAATGTTGTCAGCGATGGCATAGAGTGTTCTAAGGCGCTTGTTTTCGTTCTTTCTCCAGCTGTGGAATTGTTCTAGAAACCTTCGTTCTTCATCTGTTAGAGCATCATCTTCAACCTCCACTTCTTCCTCGTCAGTCGAATCTCCACCCTGAGGACCACCATCCTTGTCCCTGTGGGTGAGGACACAAAAAGACAGCTTCAACCTCCCAGAGGAAAAAGCCCATGTGGCCTCCCGGCGGCTTTTATGCCTAACTTTGAACCCTTCCCACAGCTCCTACAAAGCCCTGAGCTCAACCTTTGCAGGAAGTGACTGGTATAATGAGGAGAAGCATCCCAGAAGAGGGACAACCCTGGAGGTGACCTTGGCCCTGTTCAAAGACATGAAGAAGACAGAATGGTTCTGAGGGACATTCCCAGCCCCGCTCTGAAGAGTTAGAGTACCACCCTAGAGGGGTGAATGCCACTATCCTGACCAAGAAAGGGCCCAGGAGGCAGAGAGGGAGGGAGGGAGCCTGGGGAAAGGAAGAGAAAGAGGAGGTCCCGTGTTGAGCACAGGGAGGTGCGGAGGAAGAAGAGGAGAAGGAGACCATATTGTATAACATATCTCCACTCTGACCGACTTGACTATGGCTACAGCTGCTGGGCTTCTCGTTTCTCTTGTTTTGTTTGTTTTTCAAGACAGGGTTTCTCTGTGCAGTCCTGGCTGTCTTGGAACTCACTATGTAGACCAGGTTGGCCCTGAACTCAGAGATCCTCCTGCCTCTGCCTCCCGAGTGCTGGGATTAAAGGTGTGTGCTAACACCATCCAGGAGCTCCTGTTTTTTGAATAATCTCTAGAATCTCGAGTCCAGAGGATATAATATCTTGTAGGACATTGATGCGGTACCGTATGGACTGACTTGAGAAAGCAAGTCTGTCCTTGTTAGTGAAGATGTAACCGTCACAGGCCTGACTGCACGGCACGCCATCTGTGGTGGGTTGACTCACGAACACAGATCTACAGTTAGAGGGTACGTGTTACATGGCTATGACGTCTCGTTTCTACATGGCTTTAGGCAATGGATGCTGTAGCCTGCTATGTCCAGGACCCCCTGGGTTGGGCAGCCATTCCCATAGCATAGCATGAGCTCCCATCCAGTCCTGTGAAATTTCGCCATCACTTGCCCGCCTCCCATAAGCCGCTGCATGACGTTGGGTCCTGCTCTGGACTAATGACTGACTTGAATGCGTTGATGTATTGAAAAGGGGATCTTTTCGCTGTATTATTTCACATATATTACTGTGTGGCCTATGGGCCAGGAAGACTTCCTTCTCTCTGGGGCTTACAGCAGAGAAACCTTAGAGTGGGGAGATTTCTATCCCTGGAGCCCAACACTGTGTCTCTGACTAAATCTTTATCAACTCTCCAAAGTATTTCAGTCATCCCTTGCAGTACTTTCTCCCCAGGGAAAACACTTCCCTGGCATTGTGGGGACTTTTGAGAATATAAACCACCCTTCCCCCACAGCCATCCTGGAGTGGTGTGAGGCCTTGTATAACAGTGGCCCCATAGGCTCATAGATTTGAATGCTTACTCACCAAGAACTGGAACTGTTTGAAAGGATCAGGGTTAGGAGGTGTGGCCTTGTTGGAGAAAGCGTGTCACTGGGGGTGGGCTTTGGGATTTCAAAAGTCCACTCCAGGCCTAGGGTCTCTCTGTCTCTCTCTGCCTGCCTGCCTATGGGTCAGGATTAAAGCTCTCAGCTACTACTCCAGTCCCACAGGTGCCAACTATGTTCCCTGCCATGATGATATGGACTAACCTTTAAAACTGTGAGCCAGTCCCCAATTAGATGCTTTCCTTTGTAAGAGTTGCCTTGGTCATGATGTCTCTTCACAGCAATAGAACACTGACCAAGACAAGTGGTTATTCCCGATTGAAAGAACACATGCTGCCTTCTATAGAACCAGCCCTTCCCAAGAAACCCACCCTGGGTTACCTTTGCAAGTCAACGCCAGCCTTAAATTCCTTCCCCATCTGAGCCATGTCCTTATGAGTCAAGTTGTTTTCTAATTGGAAAAATAGAAAGCAAATTTACTGCTAATGTCACAAAACATTATAAAACTCACGTGTGGAAGGATTTTAGATCATGCAGAACTGAAATCATACTAAACCATGGCTTATACTAACTACAATATCTGCAAACTATTGTTTTTCAATTTACAATTAAAATATAACCTATACACATCAGCATACCCAGTAAAGTGCTCAGTCCAATGAGTGTTAATATTTATATTGGACAAAATTTTGTAAATATTTATATTGGAAGGCTACTTTGGCACAGGGTAATTCATAGCACAAGGTAGTTGAAAACCAGATAGTCTTTTCCCCCTAAGATCTTAATGGGCTGCTGAGCCCAAGGAGGATGCCAGGCCCTACACAGACCACGTTATGCTAGTGGGCAGGTGGCATCTACAGTGCAGAAACAGCGGGTAGAGAAATCATTGCTGTCACAGGCGGGACTACTCAGAGCATTGTGCAGTTTAGAATGTATGGATTACTTCTAGCATTTTCCATTTAATTTTCTTAGATTGCAGTAACTGAAACCTTGAAAGCAAAACAGAGGTACTACAGAGTTACTGTCCCCTGCATTGTCACTATCCGAGTCAAGACTCACCCCTTCCTCTCAGCACCACACTCTGACTTCTAGAACCATTGATAAGTAGACTTATTGGTTTTTTTTTAACGTGTATGTGTGTGCGTGCATGTGTGTTCTGTGGGTGCACACGTGTCTGCACATGCATATGCATTTGCATGTGGAGGTCAGAGGACAACCTCAGGTGTGTTGTTCATTGGGCACCATGATTGGGTTTTGTTCTGTTTTGGTTTTATTTGTTTATTTTTACTTCATGTGCATTGGTGTTTTGTCTGCATTTATATCTGTGCATTGGTGTCAGATGCCCTGGAACGGAAGTTACAGACAAGCCTGAATTGCCATGTGGTTGCTGGGAATTGAACTCGAGACCTCTGGAAGAGCAGCCAGTGCTCTTAACCGCTGAGGCACCGCTCCAGTTTGCTATTACTGTTTTTGAGACAGGGTCTATCACGGACCTATAGCTCTCCCAATTGCCCAGTGAGCCCCAGGATCATCCTGTCTCCACCTCCTTTCTGTGTAGCTCACACAACCATGCCTGTTTTTTTTTTGTTGTTGTTGTTGTTGTTGTTGTTGTTTTGTTTTTTTAACCTGGGCTCTGGGTGCTCAGGATTCCATGTTTGCGTGGACAGTCCTTTATGGACTAAACTACCACCCCAGGCCACTTCTGTCATTCACCAGGACCTCGGTGGAATCCACCCATGTTGTCACCGGTATCCAGAGTTTTAAAAACCACTACTGCTGTATAGCATTTAATGATGCAAATGCATTGCAAGGGGTTTCTCTGTTTTATTGATTGATGTGTTGGGGTTGTTTCTTATTGGCTACTGAGAACAAACCGGTAATAACGATTCAAAGCTCATTTTCACAGAACAACATGGCGCTGTTAAGGATGTTGTACAGATTATATTTATAGAAGATGTTAACGTTATGTTTGATTTTCTAACACATGTTCAGTAGAGAAGTCATCATCTGACTGAACTCATGTGCTGGGCTCTGACACACCAAACTAAAAGCCTAATCTGGGGTGGCCCACGCTGATGCTCCAGACCAAAGAGACCTAGGGTGTCTGTCACCCTCAGAGACCTCAGGAGAGAGCCGACACCCCATTGCCTAAACGCCAGTTTCAGCAAAAGTTCCCTCTGCCTAGTCATCACCAAAATTAATTAATCAATTGATATATATTATACATAAATATATATGAATAATGAACTTGCGGTCCCTGCTGAAGCAGAGCAGTAACTTTGAAGTGACCACTTCTCTATGCTATGCCCCCTCCCCCCGACTCTTCCAGGTCTGTGAACCCAGCCTGCCCACTCAGCTCTCTGGAACACTCGCTCCGTTTTGTGAAGTGTTACTCAATTTTAGAAGTGAAAATGGGGCCAATCAATTTCTTCAAAGTGAAATGCGCTTGGATTTTATCCTCGGCATTTGACATCGATCACTGAATGTTGTGAGTGCGGGCCGGGAAGCACGTTTGTGCCACTGTGCCCTTGTGGTGGGTGGGGCACTGCTCGTAGGAACTGGTCCTCCCCTCCACCTTCTGGTCCCTGGGCATCAAAGTCAGGTCCTCAGACTTGGTGGCAGACACCTTCTTCGCCCGCTGAGCCATCTTACCAGCTCCAGGATTTTCCCTGTTATTGCAGAAATACATCGTCTTCTTCCCTGTTCTCAGGGTAGCTAAGACCCTTGGCATTCCCGCGTGATTGGGCCGTGGAGATAAAGAGACTACCCTGGCTTGCTCATGGCAGTCCTGCCTACCAAGGAGCTTCTGTAATGAGGTGACTGCAGAAAACCCTGTAAACATTGGGTATGGGGTGCCAAGGCTTACAAGAGGGAAGAGGGGCTAGAGATTGACTCGGCCACCCAAAGGACGATGACTTTGTCACTTGCACGTCCATATGGGAGCCACAATAAAACTCAAAGGGATCCTCAGGAGAATCCAGGAAATCCCAAGATCCCAGGGACCCTGCGTCAGTCACCTTGCCACTGTTGGAGGTGGCCTAGTCTGCAGGGATATTGGGAGCTCAGTGGCAGCGGGGACACTGACCCATGTGCAGATGACAGTTTTTCAGGCTGTGGAGAGGAAATGGAGTCACGGAAAGTCTGGCATTGTTGCTCTTGGAACAAATGGGTGACAGCTTAGGCCAGGTAACGGAAGCCCTTAAATTACCCCAGTGGGCACGCGGTGTGTCCAAGGGCAATGTCAAGCCTGAGGCGTGAACAGCTCTTCAGCTGACCTCTGTGCTGACGCGAAGGCTGATGGGTGTTTCTGTGTTGTGGGGTGTGATGGAGGCCGGCCCCTGGTTGAGCTCAAGAGGTCATGAGCCATCCCACTGAGTTGAAGGTGCTGGGGGTGAGTGAGTGTCCAACCAGAGCAGGGGGAACAGCTAAAGACACATAGCAAGTGAGAAAGGCAAAGTAGAAGCTAAGTCACCCGGTGTCACAGCTCAGGAGGAGGAGAAAGCAGAGGTGAGGGTGGCTGAAGAGAATGTTTAAGAGGACCTGCTTGATTGACAGTCCTCTGGGCCTCCTCCCCGCCATTGCACACACTGCTGGGCATTGAACCCGGGTCTCTCACATTCTCAAGCCTCTGGGACCACTCCAGCCTTCTGGGTATTCTTCAATGTCCAGCCTGATTTCTCCACCTTTGACCCATAATGACCTTCCTCTCTCATGGGTCAAGTGGTGGACCAGGACGTACCGTGGCAGATTCTGCTGTGGTGATGTCAGGAAGGATGGCCCTGCTGTCCTCCAGGGCCCAAGTGGCTAGGGCAGGCAGCAGGGAAGAGGGGCTCTCTGTCCTCCCTGCAGAAGACAGACCCTCTCAGCAGTGCAGGCACAGCCCTGAGAGCCATGATTTCCACAGAATCTAGCTTGCTCTTAGAAGTGTCTCTTTGTCTGGGGAACAGCTAGCTAGCCAGTCCCTTGCTAAGGATCCATCACGCCCAAACTTTTCAGAATTACACAGAGGATTAAAAACAAACCAAACTCAATTCAAAAGAAGGAACTCCGAGTAAATAAACATGCCAAGCCACATGTCCCTCACAAGTGGTCCATCTGAGCCTGTGAGGTTCCCAGTGGAATCTCAGATGTATGGAGCGGGTCCTGAGTACTCACCTCACCAAGAGCCCTCCGGTCAGCGTGGCAGGAGCTGGGACCAGCGCCTGGGCTGAACGGGGACAGAAGCCAGGGCAGACATTTTTATTCACCAACTGGGCCAATGGTCGGAGTGGGGTGGCTCATGGAGGCAGGAATAGGATTATGAAACTGAATATTTCTTAACCTCAAAGGGTGCTGTGAAACCAGCACAGCTTGGAAGGCAGTTTCCTGCAAAATGGGCGTTGCTGAGAAGCGGCCCGCTTTGACATATCAGGCTCTTCTGTTTCTCCCACGTGCGTGCGCAGCGGGTGGGAGGGCAGAGGACTGGCTGGGGCATGGCTCAGGGTCAGAGTGCTTACATGGGCCAGACTCTGAATTCCATCCCCAGCTCTGGCAAAGAAACCCTTACACTCCTGCTTCCCAGCTGGGTGCCAGGCTCCATACTGAGTGGTCCCTGCGGAGCCAGAACGCAGAAGTCCACGGAGCATCTGCAGTCCTGTGAGTGGGCACCAAGCTAGTGCTTGGTGGCTTTAAACAATTGTGAGACGCCCCTGAGCATGCGCTGTGTCACCCAGCAGGCAGCCAGCAGCGGTATTCACAGTGTCGGGTTCCCCCCCACACCCCTCCCCCGTTCCAGGCTGTCTCCTACTGTGTGTGTGGGGGGGGGGTCCTCTGCAATTGCCACACAGCCGAGTAAGATCCACATGAGGCAGAAAGGAAATCCAGTTCAACACAACTTAGTCGGTATCGGTTCAAATTTCTAGACCCTGACACCGACCGAGCGGTTTATTTTTGATGTAGCAAAACACAGTACAACTTTGGCAACAAGTTCCCTTGTGACACGTCTCACAGCAAAGATTACGTCAAAACTCCTCAAAGCACACGTCTTTTGCAAAGGATCAGTGACCTCATCCACAAAGATGGCTCCCATTGACAGAGAGACCATGCTCAGGAGTCTGGGTAGCATCTGGAATAAGAATAAGAATAATGGGGTATTCGGGTGAGGACTGACCCTACAGACAGCACAGGTCACCAGGTTATTAGCTATATCCAATCCAAGGCAGAAACAGGTACAACTCCCTTCTGTTTAGAAAAGCCTTTGTGCCGGGCGGGCGGTGGTGGCGCACGCCTTTAATCCCAGCACTCGGGAGGCAGAGGCAGGCGGATCTCTGTGAGTTTGAGACCAGCCTAGTCTACAAGAGCTAGTTCCAGGACAGGCTCCAAAACCACAGAGAAACCCTGTCTTGAAAAACCAAAAAGAAAGAAAGAAAGAAAAGCCTTTGTGTGTTCTGTGAGCACAAGCGTAGCACAACGCCTGCTCTATGCGCCACACGTTACGGTACGGTTCGCGTATTGGACAAGGTCCTGGAGATTGAAACACACACAGTGACACGGGTAACACCAAGAAGGTTCCTTTTATTGTGGTCCAGGGCAGCTTATATAAGGTCTCCTTGACTAATGGCCACGCCCTAACTCTCAGCCACAAGCCCACCAGAAACCACTCCTGCTATCAGGAACTCCTGAGCAGCTGCTAGCATAGGAAAACAAGTTGTTTACTCTGGCAGGCAGGGGGTCACAGGAAATTCAGGGTCTGGGGGTCCACAGTCCCCAACACACAAAGACCTCGCGCCCGGTACACTATAGCATCTGATACAGATGTGTGACCCTCGTCACAAGCCCCCTAGGAAGAGAGCATCAGGACTAATAACCCACATCTGAGATCCTTTGATACGAAGTGCTTTAAAGACAGAAGGCTCAGTAAACTGCCATGCAAGAATGACGCCCTGCGTTTGGTCCTCAGCATACACAGTAAAAAGCCTCCATGCCTGTGATCCCCGCTAGGGAGGTGGAGAAAGGAGGATCCTAGGTTTGACTGCCAGGCAGCCAGGTTTGGTGGGAGACACTGTCCCAAAATTAAGGTGGAAGGTGACTGATGGAGAGACTCTTGCCAGTCTCTGGCCTCCACACACACACACCTGTGCACAAAGGTATGCACACATAGGGGAATATTTACACATGATTAGCCCACACATTGGTGGGAAAACCTGACCTCAGCCCCCGTGAGAAGGCAAGAATGGGTGTCCTGAGACCTCCACGGTTGCCTGCTCTCTGAACTTTGATTAGTTGTGAGCCCTGAGTTAACTGCCATTCGCCGCAGGGAGACACTTCCCTGAGGGACACAGAGCATCAGATTGACCTCTAAATTAACCCTCATCTTTATCAGCTTAAGGTACAGTGGATCATACACACATGCTACAGTCAGTCGGCCACATCTGGGGCTTCCACAGCTGTGAATCAACCAACCACAAATAGCAATATTGGATTGGCAGAGGGATGCATTCCCGTAATCCCAGCGCTCTGGAGGTTGAGCCCAGAGGATGAGGAGGTTAAAGCCTGCCAGCTCCACAACATCGTACCGTTTCACAACCATTCTTTTCCTTTTGGCTTGGGAAAGTACTGCTCGACCATTGAACACGTGCAGATGCTTCCCGGTACCGTAAATCGCTGCCTATTTGCATATCGTTTATTTTGTATCGAGTGCTGTAACTCTCAGGAGGCCAGGATCAGGATCAGACAGGAGTGCCTGCAGGGGCTTTCTGCAAATAGCATGTATTGTTCTCCGGGAGACTTGAGCAGCCCCAGGGTTTGATGTCTGAAAAGACCCACAGTTTCAATATGTACACACATATATGCATGGCTGTGGACACATCCACCGCAGGGGGATGGCCCAGGGAGCACTCTGACCCTGCAAGTCTCTGATTCCTGGAAACAATTATCTTTTCCTGGCCTCTGTTTGTAAGCACGTTTTGTCTTGAAGAATGTTGAGCACCAAAGACACTCCACTTGGAGCCTTTCTTTTTGGCAGAACTGGCCTTGGGGCAAAGAAATGCCCATACCTCAACAACTGACAGAGATACAGAGCGTGCATCAATAAATAAAACAGGACTGTCATATCCTGCCAAGACAGGGTAAGATAGTTTTGAAAAGTTGCTTGCCTTTGAAAATGGTATGTCAGTTATGTTAGGCCTTAGCCAAAGTTGGTTGCTTCAACGCTGCAAACATGACTTTGGGTGATTGCCCAGGTAGCTAGTTGTCTCTGTGATTTGTTGCATGTTTTGGAAGTTGTTTTACTGAACTTCCTAATTACCCAGTTAACATTATTTCCCTTCTCAGATCTTTGATGGGGTTGAAGACTATATAAATGTAGTTACTTTTTTCTCACGACTTGGCCAAGTTATTTATTATACAAGACCTAAGCTAGTTAGAATAGGATATTTGTACTTATTGTATATAATTTCATAGTAGGTTTAGAACTCTCTTACTTAAACAAAAGGGGGAGGTGTTGCGGGAGGTCCTTCCGCCCCTCCAACCAATAGCTGCTGTGATACCAGCCCATTGGGGCGTGGTCTCTCTCCCTTTAAAAAAGCGGCTATTTCCTCTGCTCGCTCTCTTCACTTCCTGCTCCGCCGGAGACTAGACTCCCTTCCTGGTTGTGCAGATGGCTGTTGTCTGGGACGGTGATCTGTAAGTTTTCCCCTTTAAATAAATAACACCCTATTAATCATAACTCCAAACTGGTGTGGCCTTGTTCGTGACTTACGCCTTCATCGTGACTTTACGACTTGCACTGTGCCGAATGTTATAAAGTTTCCATCTCTGCCCTCCAGGCTCCACCTAGAAGCGTTTAGGACCCAGGGAACCACAGGCAGAGCAGAACAGGGAGGCAGTGGTTATGAGCAGAGAGGAGGGAGGCGAGAGGGCACTGACCTTAATCCTAACAACATGGCATTTCAGCTCTGGTAGCTCCTCAGACGTTCCCTGACTTGGGTTCCTGTAGACAACAGATTGTCTTGAGTGCAGTAGGAGCTCATGCACACGCACGCACGCACACGCACACACAGGAAACATTACATATATCACATATGGTTTATTACTATCTTTTAGAGAGTGAACTTGCCTATAGGCACTTATGTGCATGTATGCAGGATATATATGAATATATGTATGTTTTGTACTTGACGCTCTTAGAAGATGCCTTTTTTAATATTTATTTATTTATTATGTATACAATATTTCGTCTGTGTGTATGCCTGCAGGCCAGAAGAGGGCACCAGACCCCATTACAGATGGCTGTGAGCCACCATGTGGTTGCTGGGAATTGAACTCAGGACCTTTGGAAGAGCAAGCAATGCTCTTAACCATTGAGCCATCTCTCCAGCCCAGGAGATGCTCTTTTTAAAAAACATTTAAAGCCGGGCCGTGGTGGCACACGCCTTTAATCCCAGCACTCGGGAGGCAGAGGCAGGCGGATCTCTGTGAGTTTGAGGCCAACCTGGTCTACAAGAGCTAGTTCCAGGACAGGAACCAAAAAAGCTATAGAGAAACCCTGTCTTTTTTTTTTTTTTTTTTTCGAGATTAAAGGCACGCGCCACCACTGCCCGGCTGAAACCCTGTCTTGAAAAAAAAAATTTATTTATTGTGTTTATGCACACACAACACAATGTGCACGCCACAGCCCTCACGTGGAGGTCAGACAGCTTTCCGGAGCTGATTCTCATCTTCCTCCCTGTGGGTCGCAGGGACTGAACTCAGATACTATCAGGCCTGGCAGCGAGTGCTGCTGCCCTCCCAGCCACCTCTGGGGCTCGTGGGAGGAATATCCGCCCACTGCATCCCACCTCGCATTAAAAGCTGATGTCGCCCGCATTCTTTCCTTCAATTAGCCCCCAGACCAGTGAGGGGGAAATTATTCCAGCTGGCATAAGGCAGGCTCAGGGCCGGACTGTGGGTAAAACAAATAAGACAGGGTACCCTGTTCTGAGCTCTGGGAAGCAGGTAGGGGCAGTCACTGGAAACGAAATGCCAGAGGGGTCTGGGCTGAAAGATGTGTTTGGGCTCATGGTTTCGGGGACTTCAGTTTGTGATGAGCTGGTCCCGTGGGTCTGTGGTGAGGCACCCTAAGAAGTGTGGAGGAAACAGCTCACCTCAGGACAGGCAGGGAGGAGGGAGAGGAGGTGAGAGAGAAGGAGGAGGGCAAGAGGGAAGCAGTGGAGGGGGGAAGAAGGGGGAGAGGCGAGCAGGGCAGGGCAACAAAGGAGTATAAGGGAAGAGAACTGGGCTCCAATCCCTTTCCTTGTGTGGACATAGTGACCTCGCTTCCTGGCACTAGGTCTCTTTTCTTAGAGGGCCCATCACCCTTTGGGCTGGAGATACA